TTTTGATAAAGATCAAACATGTCAAATCAAAGTCCACGTACATTTCCCCACGGCCACTGAATAGTCATTTTGTATTCCTTTTGTAAGCCGGAAATTGTAAATGTGAAGAATTTTCCAAAGTTGATTAAAAAGTTTAAAAGATGACTGAACGAGAGCATACAGAGGGACAGGAAAAAAATGAAATATTGACTGACTGAAAAACGGCGTTGTTTGCTGATTGTCCATGGCACTTTTKTCTGAGCTATATCGASTGGTTATCATTAACCCGTGAAATTAACTCTAGCGTCCTACACTATTACTTCTTATCTTTGCGGCAGGTTTTTCGTTGTCTATTTTCGTAGTATTACACCTTATTACAGTTTGTTTCACGGTTTTACTAGTTTTACTAAGACTATTCTACTTGAAATGGAAGAAATTCTTGTATCGGAAAAAAATAACACGTCCAGCAATTAAAGATAAAAACAACGAAATAGGCTAGGCTCTGCAAAATACCAAATCTTCAAATTAGCGAGAAAGAGTACAGAACGAAATGATCGAGTGTAACAATGAAACATGGCAGTCATTTTCGAATGAATTCGGAAGTATAATAAATGATCCAGCAAAAGAAGACATTAGCTCAGCTGCTATCTACAAACATAGGAAGGAATTTGATAGTTTTGCGACAGTTTTTTGTCTGTGAACATGGCACGGCATTTAATAAACACGCAAAATAAACTTAGCACATATCATATGAAAGCAAATATAAGAAATGGAAAAGGGCGTTTTTTTAATTTAGCGTAGGATAAGTACATTRTCTAATGGAGGATAATCGTACAATTAGTTGATCAACATGGCAACATCTTTTCCCTTTACATAACGAATGGACGTGCACACAAGTCATTCAGTTTCCATATTTGGTGGGAACTAGCGGTAAACTAGTGTGAGCTGCGTCGGTGTTTCTAAAGAAACAGTTATGTAAAAAAGTTAAATTTAACACCGTAAAAAAGTATGTGGAAAAACTTACTGACGTTTCGGATGTTAATCCTTCATCTTTACTCCGACGAAGGATTAACATCCGAAACGTCAGTAAGTTTTTCCACATACTTTTTTACGGTGTTAAATTTAACTTTTTTACATAACAGTTTCCATATTTATTCGTCTCTGATATAGATAAAAGAAGTGAAAAATGAGAAGCTAAGAGAGTAGAATAGAAAATGAAAGGAAGATCAAAGGGTTGTGGATAAGGGAAAAACACTTTCGCCACTTTTATAATGTATTTTTACTTTTCTTTGTAAAGAAAACAAATTACTCGATCTCTAAAATACGTTTTCTAATAGATAATTCTGATAGCGATAATTTATATAAATTTCCAGTATTTTGTAGTGATATTGACCCATGCACGAGAGAAAACTAGCACACTATAACAACAGGATGCGATGAACGAACTTGTGAAAATCACCATGAACTATAAGCACAGCCGAAAGCTATTGATAACTGATTGATGTGTTATGTATTAGACTAATTTCATCTTAAGCTGGTCGATCCTACGATCTGTGACAATTTTCTGTTCCTTTAAAATATTCTGGTGCCCATGACTGACTRATGGAATWCGTTCATTCATTGTAGTTGAACATGATACACCTTTTTCAAATACGTTGAAGTGCGACTGACGCCGGGGCGGTTTATTTCCCACGCTTCAATGCGGTCTTYCTAATTCGGATCCTGACAACGTTTTTGAAGGAGATGTATAACGACATTCGACTTGCTTTCCGGTTTCAATGTATTTAGTGACATTACTTGAATGTTTTATTGTTCGGAAAGAAAATTGGAATACGTTGTGTCGGATAATTATGAATAGGTTTCAAGAAACACGATACTGTCTTTTGGAAATCCCCAGCTTTCTCTTTTTTTGCATTCTGTGCACCATTCTTTTGAAGTTTCAGCAAGGTGTAGAAGATCTTTTTATAAAACATTAGTGCAGTTTATACGCTTTCGTTTTTTGAGGCTGCAGCCCTTGCAAATCCATCCTTCATTGATTCGAGATGAAGTAAAAAACACATTCATTTGTTGACTTGTCGTTGAAGGTGTACAAGAAATTCGTAGTATGACATAACAGATTCCGCCCTGTCGTCTAAAAGATTGCTCAGGAAAAGTGGTCGATTACGGCTATCCTCTCTGAAAGGAAAATGTCAAAAAATATATTGAGAAATATTAGATGTAAAACATTGTGGTTGGTATGATTACTGTTGTTGTTGATAGGACTAGTTTTAGTGACGGTTGAAKTTACTCAGTTACTGTTGTTACTGGAGATTTATTTACACTATTAAATAACAGATGATTTGGGAAACTAAAGGGCATACACTGACATAAATGTCACTTTACTGGCTGTGCAATTAGATAAAAAACTAACACACACACAAAGACAGACCTGTCTTGAAACAATTCATGATATTCACAAGTAAAAGKTGACTCATGGGTTTCCTGTTTGCTCACCTGAAGACGTGAAGAACTGAATGACACGTTCTAAGACTTTGAAGATAATCGATAAAACATCGAACACGTTGATTGAGGGCATTGTCCAACTCAGGTAACGCTCCCTGGAAAAAATAGACACAAGTTAAAAATCTATCTTCATGTTCTCGCATTCTATTTCAGTCTGAGCAATGAAGTTATTTCAAGGGAATTTAGAGGACGATGATTTCTTGTTGAGAAGGGGAAAACGGTCACCAAACTAACAATATCAGCAAGAACAGAAACAGCATAGACAGACGTAATAAAGAGAACGAAAGCAGGACATTCTTTTCCAACTGTTATAATAAAGTTACGTTTACATAAATAAGCTGGACAAGGCTCAGAGGAAATGCGGTAGACTTACCATATTTTCAGCAAGATTATTGAAACTAGGCACATTAAATATTTGTTGAATGATTTCATTTGGTGTCTCTTTTCCAACCCAGATATAAAACACCTGAAACAAGGAATCAAACCGCGTTAGAATGGCACTCCTTGAAGAAGCCCAAGTATCATGCAGGGGGACGGACTGGAGASRGAGGGGAGAGAGAAYAGGRAGYYCCTTTTTCCATCTTTACTCAAAGTTATACTTGAATTGCTTCTATAGATGTAGTTAGTGTGAAGATGATGAAACAATAATAAATTGTGATAAACGCAATGATGACGGTAGATTTGTTATTAATTTATCAGTAGCGACAGCATGAAAACATGGAAACTGCATAGTTAATAGAGGGGACATCTCCCTCTATTAACTATGGAAACTGTAAACGATAATGATATCCACAAATACCACAATGTGCCTCTGGATTGTCCAATACTTGACTTTAGTAAACTCAAAATCAAACGTTTCCATACTGGTCGYATAACCAGGTTGGTCGATGTTAGAGAGGTATGACTGGCGATACTTACATGACCCGCATCCAATAAGAAGACACCTGTTCGACTCAGYTTTTCAGCAGAAAGATTTAAACATGGCGGTTGTGGYACGACTCCATTCTTTGTGTTGAGAGCATTCTGTTGGAAAAAATCCTCTATTTATAAATAACATCAAAACAACTTTACTCCCACAATGACATTCTTGATCATTGTCACCACAMTACCACCTTTACCATCATTAACAGAGAGCTCACGAGAACGGACGCGCAATGCGAGATGAGAAAGTASAGCGGATACAAGGGAAGGGTTATGGGGGTCATTGACATTTCTTCTCCATTTTTTGCACGAATCGAAGCGTACTCTCTGTCTGTCATGTTAACAGCTCCTTGTAATGTAACCTCTTTGAAAAAAATCCTACATTGTGTTTATCTGTCTGACCTTAACCTCTTTTATCTTACTAAGGTAATGTACAGGAAATTCAAATCAAGAGATAAGAAGAACGGTCACAGTCATGATTGTCATCATCATCATCATCGTCATCATCATCATATGCATTCMATATATCACCTTTGTACTAACCTCGTCAGAGATATCATGTATAGAGTACAAGGTTGGGTAGATGGTTAACATATTGAGATACAAAGGCATGGTTTTGAATTGTTGCATAGCAAAGCATCGTTCATCTAGACGTGCCGTCGAACCAAGACGAAAAGCAACCTACGGGAAAACAACATCTTGATTTTACTGATACACATCAAAACCTTAGGAAGCTTGAGATTTCCCACAACTTGGTGATCATTACCCCTTACGCAACTAAGCAGCCTACGCTTACATATATACGTAACTGCGAAACGCAAGTGAAATACCAAACAAATACGTTTTTTATCAACAACACCACCACTATAAATGTAATATACATATATCAATTACATTTGCATACACATATAGGTGCACCACATTTTACTGCGACGAAAATAAGCTGCAAAACAGCAATATAATACCAAATACTTACGTTTTTCATCAATGCCAGTATGAAAAGAGGTAACAGTCGCAGCGAATATGGCGCCAATAACTGACTTCCTTGTTGCTGATTGGCTACATGCTGTCGATATACCGTCATGAAGTCGACACAGGCATTCATTAAAGCCTAGACAATAAATGTTATTTTATTAGTATAAATCATTCATGACTATCATCGCCTTTTAATTTGTACACGAAAATGAAATTAATTTGAAGACGCTTTTTGGATGTCGACTWACTGGCGTCAAATTACTTTTTCTGCACTTATTTGCGTTTTCCATAAGTGTTCATTAATGTTGATCGTTACTCAAAAMGCGTCGTTTATAAATGCGTTCTCTCGTGTCTTTCTGTTTATCGCACTGTACCATTAGTGTGTGCTATTTAATGATTACATCTGTTATTTTTTTCTGGTAAACGATATTTATGAGTAATTTCCTGGTGTTTTTAGAATCAAAACTGTTTTGAAGATATCTAATCATGATGTATACTCCAATGTAGCCTCGAGGGACTGTGATATTACTAATCAGGATCAAKATATTTTTGAGATATTCAGACAAAATAACAATACATACCTCACGGGCATCACCAAGACTAGAYGATAGCGTCCTATCCACAGCTACAACAAGAAATGATATTTTATCACTCATGATTATAAACACTAGGTTAAGGTTTCGATATTCTTGGACAGCATTCTATGGCGCAAGTTTAGTAAAATTCACTGTCCTTTGCACTTCACTATTCTTTCTCTCCTTTCTCTTCCGCCTCGAGTTCCATTTTCATGGTATAATCTAACTTTCTCTCCTCTCATTTCCCTTATTTCCACTCAGTTTTTTTTCTTTCATCTTCCCCTAACTCCAACTCTTCTTATCGTTTACCTCTCGTGATGTAATCTTCCACCCTTGTTTTTCCCATTCTTTACTTATCTAGAATCTATTTCTCTCTTTCATTCTCATTCTCATTCATTTTCTCACTCTCATCTGGTATTTCTTATAAACCTTGAGATGTCTCCAGATAAACGAACTATTCTACTCGTGATAAAATCACCTCTCAACATCCAAAATACAAAGGAGATTCCAAAGGTGATTTTGARACATCATCATCTCTTGTTCATTCTGTCTATCTGGCAGAACCTTGACCATACAAAGACCATGACATAACTAATGGCTCCCCCWCTGTAATATTATGTATGAGAGTCTTACCCATCTTAGCCAATAAAGTAGCAATTGCCTGTTGATCAGCAAAKGCRTACACCTCTGGTAGTTTACTGGTRGTTGGCATWGCAAGAGTGTGAACTCGAATACGCCTTTCACCTACAAAGCAAAATCTGTGTCAMTGCTTTCAAAAATAWACCACTGAATTATTCAGTAAATTCCACTCTCATAGAAAAAAATATTTCACTTCTGATTTGAATAAACAAACATCACTCTTATCCTGCTGATTCCGTTAATGACAATGCAGACTTCACATTAATTGTGAAGTTTTAATTTCAGAAGTAAAATTTGGAATTATGCTTCAAAAATAATTATGTGGAATACTCAGTGCTAATTATTACAAAATACAGTAGTGTTGGGGAGAACTTAAGAAACAACAGGATTAACGTAATAATTATGTTTATCTACTTTGTCATCAAATTTACAGCTATATTGTAACACAGATGTATATTACAAACCTTTAGAGCTAGTGTACAAAAGGGCAGATTGAAAGCAAACAACATTAGAATCAGTCAAAGAGTCTTCAATGTCAATCTGCATAGTAAACCCTGTATCAGGGTTGATATTAGGCAGTGAAACCAGGTCTGTTGAACGCACAAAGAAGTTTCCATGGAAAGTGTGGATGGTTAATCCTGATAGAGAAACAAAGTAATTAGATTTAAAATAGAAGAAGAGTTGAAATGTAGAYGAATGAGATTTTTTACCATGATTATTCATGGGAAAGTTACTAAGACACATTACCTCTTGTGCATCGAACTCTCATCACTGCTTCAAAGCCTATTTTCCTTGTTAGATACCGTCTGCAAATTAAACAAAAAAAAAATCACCAACTAGATCTACAACATCTAAATAAATCAACACTACTATAAACTCAAAAACAAACCAAAAGTAAATTAACATGTATAAGATGACTTACGTGAATTCATTCTCAAACTTTTCTAATATCGTAGGATTTCTAACCACATGAAAATCAGGRTAGTAGGCAATACAACCACCAGAATACTTTGATGCACACACTAAACAACAATAGAAGCAAGAATTGGTTAAATAAACTTAACAATCAATGGAGTACTTAGAATAGCTCGTAACATGARWGGCCTAGCACATTCTGTTGCATACACAAACATTTTGCATCCATATGATGCAAAATATGATACACACTTACTGAGAGATGAAATGTCTGCATACTGAGAAGACAACAGGAACAAATCAATTGCAACTTGTTCAGCAGCGCAGTCCAAGGCAAATTTTTTATAAAAATCTGTAGCTGGAGCCAGGTTGGCTACATCCTGCAAAAAACATAAATCAATATTATTCTAATGCAATACTCCTAACTGTGTAATAATTTCAACACAACTATCATTAAAAAAACGCTGACACTCCTGGATCATAACAGGGTTTTATATGTTACTATATAGTACGTAAAAAATGCCCTTTGGTGTGTCAAACGTCATAATGTAATTGTAAAATAACATTAAAATATACCTTTGGATTTGACTTCTGGTTGGGTTCYTCTCTTCTCTTGAGTTCACCAGGTCCAATGTTTGGTAACGTTGTCTGGAAAACACTTACTCTTCCACCAGTTGGTCCCTGTCATTGAGAAGAAAATATTGTTTTTATTTTCAAAATATTCACTCTACACAAACAAAAATGCATTCAGAAATTGAGATACAAATGGTATTAATRCCACAAAGCTTACCACAAGTTTAAGTGCTGCTTGCATAGCTGCTCCAGTGGCACTGTGGACATTGTGTGTTCCACTAAACATGGTAGGTAAAGAGTCTAACAGTTGATGAATGAGCTAAAAACAGATCAAAGTCAGTTATCATAAAGAATGACTTCACACAAATTCATAAGAAATCAATGTTAAAATATTAGTTAAATTCATGATGTCTTTGCCTGTGTCTTTACGGTAACAYATTTGATGGCCACTAAAGGACTTCATCTCTCATCAGAGTGTGAAATTATGTTAACTGAAACTTATTGTAAACTGGTTTTAATGATGTTGTACCTCCATGTTTTCCTTTAAATTGACAAGCAAGTCRTCAGGAGCTGGCAGAAATACATCTAAAAGGACAAATACATTCAGTAAACAAGCAGATTAATAAAATAAACATGCTAAACACAACAATAATTTAAGAAATAAATAAACACATTCATAAACACCAATATTATTTGTAAAAAATTCTAACATACCATCTAAATCTGATACAATAAGCATCTGGGGCTGGGTTGACTTGGGCTACAAAAGTAGAAGATTGGGAATTAGATTTTCAAACTGAACAAGCACCAACTTGGATCTGGATTTCTCTATTTAGTCTTTATGACATAAATCTAATCTATTTAGTCTTTATGACATAAATCTAAGGTAAGTTAAATGGTTGAACACAGAAGTTCATGTACGAAGCTGTGCTGAACTCCATGCAGTGTACCACCTATACATACTATACTAGCTGTAAAAAATAGTACTGTATTTACAAGGAGTATTATTGGTTGTAAAATCAAGAATGCTTTGATTGTCTCTACTCAAAATACTGTGCCTTGATTTATGACAAAATGACCAACTAGAATCAGATACAAATAATTGTAATACTAGCAATACCTACCCTTAGACTATAAAAGTGAATTTTACTATCAAATGTCATAAATCCTATCATTGTTCTAGAATCACCAGGCATCTTGTCAAGGTTTTCTTTCAGCATTCTACAAGCACTGTGAAGATACCCTGCAAAATGAGATCATGAATCATTCAATATACAACCAATAAATAGTGTTACTATTKTTACAGTCTGGAGATGATCTTTCATAAACACTAATAAACACTTAATAAAAACTACTTTAATGATGGTTTTATCTTCAAAGAACAACRAGCAATAAAGCCTTGTTTGTAAGTTTGTATTGAAAACCTATTTTATACCTGTTTCAATTGCATTAAAGGAAACANCAGTGTCTGAGCCTTTTGGCTCATTATTTTGTTAATCATTAAATTGGATTGGATCATATGACATCCTCAACACCACCTCATCCAGTCATTCATTCATCCAGTGTCAATATTTTTACAAACATTTCTTCATTATATATATACACACTTCATCTATTTGTACAAATTATCATTCCATCAGTTACATTAAGTTTTTGCCTCACCATCATTAGTTCTAAAGCACATTGGACATCGCCATCTTCTAGTCTCAGTAAAGGTCACAAAGGGATTGATGTAAGTTCTACAGGATCTACATCTTGTGATGACTGATGAATGAATTACAGGTAGACTCTGCACAAACAAATATAATAGTATTACATACAGTTAGCCTCCAAAAATATACAGTAACATCAAAAGACAACATTGCTTGTTTTCAGTTCAAAAGAGTCAAGACAATGCAACCAATGTTTGCTAGTAAGTAATACTTACAGCAAGGTCTTTGAATGGATGGAGATGGATTGCAAAAGGGAGCCTTGATTTGGTCAACAAACTTTTGTTCTCTGGTATGGAGTTAAGTGTGCAGCAAAGAACACTGTTGAGTGAACAGAAATAGCTTGATTTATTGAATCCAGCCTGACTCAAAATAATGGCTAGGAATATGGAGTTCAAGATTATCTTTCAAATATATTATTAACTGGACATTATGAAAGGGCAAAGCATCTTGTCCTTTTAATATCTTATTGTCTGTCAAGTGGGAATACTGGAAGGTCACTGTCCTTTGAGGTACTCTATAATGAGCTTAAATCCTATTTTTCCTTCAGTCTAAATGAATTTTGGTATATTGTTGTTTGCGATAATAATATGCAACAAAACATGCAAACTTCTATTTCAGACCAAATTACAATCTGCAATTATTGTGCTCTAACCTTGGGTCACTGTTCCTTTTCTGTAAATCCTTAAATAATWAAAGACCACATTACAACAAAATTATCACTAAGTCAATTCAACAGCACTCAAGAGTTTGGTTTTACCTTTCCTTTTTTTGTATCTAGAAAGATTGTGTTTGGGTAAACTCAGCACCAGGTCAAATACTTACTGATGGAAGAGGTGGTGAGATATGCTCAACAGGAGTTGGAGGGACAATATTTCTCTGTTCCAGAAGATTGACTGGTTGGACACCAGTTGGTTGCTATGAAGAAATCAAGACATTTGGAACTGTTAGAATTGCTATTAATAATATATTTACAGAGGGAAATATTGTTAGGCAGGTATGATGTACAGATGGTCACATGATGGTTGATAAGGACAAAGCATGATATTTGGAACAGTGAGACAGGAGAAGATGCTACACAACACAATTTTAAGTATAAAATGTCAAGTAAAATGGACAGATTAAGAATGCACATACACACACTGCAAACCAAGCAAGGATGGCACATGTACCGAGCAAGCTGGGATATGGTTATATAGTATGGTTATGGCACAAAAGTGACATATTTTTTGCACAGTAATACAATGAAWTATGCTCACCTGTACAGTGAGTCTGTTCATTGGTCCTTCAAGTCCACTATAACCTCTACTAGGATAACCCTAAAAACAATTATTG